TTTTCGTTTTTATTTTTACGAATCCGCTCTCCTGGATGATGAGCCGTAACAGACGACGACCACAATATCGCTTGAGATTTACCATAAGACGTACCTAAATAATATTTAGTCACTACCAGTCACCGGTAACCAGACGACCATTACGAATCGTCATAGTAATCACGTCCTGTCGTCATAATATCCTTACTCCYCCGGCACATATGTTAAGATATTCTCACGTTCATACCTCTCAAATGACCTTAATCCAATAAAACTACCGGTATACCTAATATTCAGAAAATATTACGAAGGTAGTTGGAAAATTGTTTTTCGCGAAAACTGGAGTACATTGGACTAATTTAACGAACGGCAATATGAATAACAGTAAAAAACTAACCTAAATATGTTTGCAGACATGGAGTCWAAATAAATTTATATTCTAACTGGTATAATATTATACGTATGCAATTAATTGATTGATATTTAGGTAATAATAATTATAAAACCAATGTTTTTCGATCACTTTTGATATTTATAGATTTAAAATCATTAGTTTAAATCCTTACTTTTATAATTTATGGCAAGAAATTAGTTACTTTTTTGCGTTCTTAGGTATATATTGATTTTTTAAAATCTTTATCGGTCGTTTTGAGTTCTTTTATTTTAAAACAATAAACAAACGATTTGAATTGTGTATTGTATACATTATCACTGCGTTTAGTAAATACATTATATACACCGAGTTTACATAGTCGCTTGATCTAATAAGTTGTTTAATTTTATTGAACATGGTGCGTAAATATAAAGGTAATTGGCAACAGCTATTTTTTATTCATTAGTATTTACAACAACCTCACGACTGTCAGTAACAATAATAATGATTAGTACAAAACATCGGGGTTTAGTTGACTTTGGTAATTAAAATAGAAATATTTTCAAAGTAAGTAGGTACACGTCTTTGGCCCTCAAACTCGCTGAACGGTGCTTTTTGATTATGTTTAGATATATGCCTTATGCGTTATGCGTATAGGTTTTAAATAACCTCCCGACACATAAATAGATACAACTCCTGTGGCGTATTAGGTGTAGTTTTTTTATGAGGCCTGCAAAGTGTATGGTTTTGTTTAGCGAGCTGTTTATACATGGTGGAAGTCAATTTCGTAACCAACTCGTCCGGGTCCTTGCACCAGTGATAATAATTTTACCGATATACTATGTATTATAATTATGTACGTATATTTATAGCCGTGTGTGTATTTTGAATGTTTACAGCTTGGTCGGCAGTTGCGGAGTCGGAGGATCAGGTGACTTAGTTCGGAGGGGGGCGGGTGGCGTCCTGCCGCCACACCATCCGCACCCCCATCCCGCCGATTTCCCCCATCCACTTCGTTTCAATTGCATGGATATCTGTTCGTCGTTCGCAACAGTCGGTTCCCTGAGTAAGTATAATAAATATTATAATGATATATGTTATCATACCATATGTTATCATTAACCTAACGATAATTTTGATTTCTTTAAATCTGGTTCTTAATTATGAATATACTTACTAACGTTTGGACGGCACGTTAGCAGCTTAAGGATACAAACTTTTGTCATTAAATTTGAATATTTGTACAATTTTCATAATAATAGATCCATAAATTATAATTGCAATCTTTATTTAATGCTTTTGTTATGAAATATTAAAAGTAAGACAAACGATACGATTAAAATACTCAGTAATAAGTAGAGACAACCTCATTCAAAACATCTGCTTAATACATAATATTGAAAAAATGCACATTATTTTTTAATTTCAAAAAATTTTAATACATGTATTTAGTTTTAACGTTCTGGTCGAATTTTTTCTTCCCCTTTTATGGTTAGTCTCTTAACGCTTATATACGACTATATATACACGTTGTGTTAATCTTTGTGAATTGTGATCAACAGGTTCGGGTCTGTGTAGCCCGTTGGCACAAAGCTTTTCGCGGCAGGGCAAGAAACGGGCGCTATCCGTGTCGCCGTCCCCAGACCTGGAGCTACATGGCCGGATTCGGTCATCGCCGAGCGCGCTGTACTCGGCCGCCGCAGCGTACGGCGCTTCGTGCTCTAGGAGTTCGAGCACGTCCGGTTCGTATGGGCACCTGAACCCAYTGGCGTTTACCATGCAACACCACCCATCTGTCATATCGCCGCAAGTCCAACAGTTGCTTCGATCCGCCAGTGGCTTGCACTTGCCGTGGCATAATGCCGCTGCCATGCCGTCCTCTGCCCACCATCCCTCGTATAACATACACATGTTACCGGTACCCTCGCAGGACTGCAGTTCACAGGCAAGTGTAGTTTCTAATCACGATAAGCGCGTTGTTTTTAACATGTMGGCCGTTATTATTATTTGGACGGTATGTGTATTATTTATGATTTCTTATGATTATTAGATGTTGGCCAACGACATGTGCAAGGTCAAACATGAACGGTCCAAATCAAAATCGACATCGGCTTCGAAGAAGACTTCTCAAAAGATCGTCGAAGACTCGAAACAAAACTCACCGGAATCCATCAGTGACCTCAAAGGGGAACCAGATTTTATCGAGACAAACTGTCACTGGAAGAACTGTAATTTAGAATACCAGACTCAGGCTGTATTAGTGCAGGTACATACTATTATTATTTTCTTAATTACCTTTCAATATTATTTCCAATCCAAAACTAATAATATTCTATATGTACGCCGACACCAAATTCATTAAAATGAACCTATAATTGCTCGAAGCAAATTAATATACACTACATAACTCAGTGCCAGTCACACAACAACACTGGAATACTAATGCCCTTACCGTTTTTCTTTAATATAATGATAATGCGATKAATTTATAATATTACTATATTTTTATGCTTTGCAGCACATCGTTAATGATCATATTCAGGCGAACAAAAAGTCATTTGTATGCCAGTGGCAGGATTGTTCTAGAGCCGAGAAGCCATTCAAAGCTCAATACATGCTTGTAGTACAYATGCGAAGGCATACTGGAGAGAAACCACACAAATGCACGGTAATTGATTTATATCAGAGTTTTGTTAACATAAGTCAATTGTATATATTGATAGCCATTGGTTTTTATACATATTATATGGGAAAACAAAACCATGATATACCAACTTTAATTCAAAAAATGTAAAACCAATAGGCAACAAACAATCTGTTGATTCGATTTATAAATATTTTATGTTTAATACCAACGTATTTTACAGTTTGAAAATTGCACCAAAGCTTATTCGAGGTTGGAAAACCTAAAAACTCATCTCAGATCTCATACCGGTGAAAAGCCCTACACTTGTGAACAYCCTGGTTGCAGTAAGGCCTTTAGCAATGCTTCCGATAGAGCAAAACATCAAAACCGTACTCATTCCAGCGAGGTAATTGTAACTTTGATTTAAAAAATACTACGCAATGTTTATGATAGAAGTAATACTTATAATTGTGTTACTCGTACATTGGGTGGGCTTATAGCACTGTTGAGTGTAATGTATATTGTATAATATACTATACAAAAATATTGTTTATTCTATTTCAACGTTTGTTTTGATTGAATCATATGATTAAAATATACATAATATAATATATTTAATTTGTGTGTATGCAATCAGTTGGGAAAATTAAATAGGTGAGAATGGGTTAGAGAATATCGTTTTYTGGTATAATACTAACGTACAGATCGGTGTGTTTTAGAAACCGTACATATGTAAAGCTCCCGGATGTACAAAACGTTACACCGATCCCAGTTCCTTGCGCAAACACGTCAAGACAGTTCACGGGGCTGATTTCTACGCGCATAAACGACATAAAGGCAATGGAAATGGTGACAACAGTCGTGGCGGAGGAAGTGGAAGTGGCGGAAACGGTCCTGGTGCTGATGACGCGTCACCGTATCGGAGCGATGAGATGCCGATGAGTGCCAAAACCGTTAGCGTGTCTAGTCCGAGCATAAAATCTGAAGTACGTACCTATAGCATTACTAATGTAATTTAAATTTTAAAAGACTATTTGGCTTTTTTTAGTTTGACTTGTTTATATAATTTGTATTCTCTTTCCGTTTTCTTAGGAAACGAATTCCCCTGGTCAGCAACCCAGTCCTATGAGCGTTCCGTACAGTAATAGAATGTTTCACGACGAGCCTATTAGCGACAGCAACCATAGTGCAGACGCTCTGGATGACAATTGGGTCGAAGATGGGCATGAAGCCGATGTGAGTGTTTGCTATAAACAGTATAAACCTTTTTCAATCGTATTGGCAGTGCCAAATTTAGTTTTTTAAACTATGAGAAATTAAAACAATTATAAATTTATTTAACTTCTGTAGTTATTCGACTTTATTCCAATGCACTCTGAAGTCGGAATGGTCACTTCGGCGCCTATGGTTAGAAGGATGCGACGGTTTGTGCCTCATGCTGGATTGAAGCACGCAGCAGCCAGCGAGTTATTACCAATGCCTGAATTGAGTCCAGGACATGGAAGTACTTCTGGCATGCAAGAATTAAATAAACAATTGACTGACATGAAGATGGTATCCAATCAAGACACTATACGGAGAGAAAGCACTTTTAGTAACTACTGGAGCATGAAGTCTGACCTCAGTCGCAGAAACAGTCAAGTAAGCATTCTAACTTGATATGAAAAGTAGTTCAGGCACCATTATTTAATATATACATTTTGTATTCGTTTAGGTACCATCCGARCATCATAGATTAAGCAACGCCTCTTCTTTATACGATCCGATTTCTGTGGATTATTCTCCTAGTCAAGCAAACACAGCAATGGGTCCTGATATCGATGTATGTACCATTTTATCTAACAGAAAACTGTCAAAAATTTATTGACATCTTTAATAAATGTTATTTTAATATTGGTTTTCAGGCGTTTACCGATAACGAAGAATGCAGACAGTTGCCAGAAAGTGCCAAAACGGCGAGACCTCAAACTCAACAAGCTGGGGCCGTACATCATCCCAACTCGAATATCAACCTCGACGAGGTCGGCGAGGGTGAATCGCTGGAGAGCAAAATGGTCCTACCTGATGATTTCGATGACGTCATCAAGGACATGGTGAGTCAATAAAACGCGTTAGCTATAAAAACCAAAAATGATGTGCCTAAATCCAGTGTTATATTAAATGGTATCTGTTTTTATATTTTTAGATAAGCGAAAAAATTGACGAATATGATCTCGGCGCGTTCGACGCAGAAAAGACCATTAACGAATTGACCGAATCCGCTCTGGAGCACATTCCCACGCTGACCCCGCCCATCGTCACTCAGGATGCGACTAATGGTGCCGGAAACGGTCAAGCGTTAACCAATACCGTGGCCCCCATTGTTCCGTCACCCATTCCGAATGACAGACCAAGCAARGTGCCACCGGCAAACAGCTACCGTAACATGCGAAGCAACAGTTTACCGGTTAATTGGCAAGGACAGGAACAGAGCCACGGGCATGGCTTGCCCGGTTCGGCGTACAACCCTCAATTCCAGAACCAAAGACCATACCAGGCGAACCACCCGGCTATGTTGTTCGGCACCACCACTACCAACAACACCAACAACAACAATTTTAACTTCGGGCCGAATATGCAACAGAGGCAAAACGGTGGACGGTACTCGTATTCGTCCCACCAGGACTTTGTTAACTACAACCACAATTACGCCAACTTCAGGCATAACAGTGGACATCAGTACCACCAAATGAAGAACAACAACAATCAACACTACCAGCTGAACAACAACAACAACAACAATAACAACAATTTCAACAATAACAGCAACAGCAATAGCAACAACAATAATAACAATAACAACAACAACGGTCTTCAGTTCCACGGGCAAGGCAACGAAAATGGATACTATGACGACAACAACGCTACTCCTAACACGTACCAAAGGTGCCAAAGAACCGCCTCTGGCAATGGAGGACAACAAGCCGCGGCTGTGGGACAAGCGGCCACCACGCATGGCATGCAGTCGTACAGTCACAGTTACTACAATGGTGGCTGCAACAACCATCAGTGCAGTCAACAGCAGTGCGGCCAACAGCACAACAACAATTACTACAACAGTGGCTATCATCAAAATAAATTCAATGGCTGCTATTCGAGGCCAAACCACCAACAACATATGAGCCAGCAAACCCATCAGCAACAACAGCATCAGCAGCACCAGCAGCAATACTACACGGATCTGGACCGGAAACAGGAAGCTGGAACGACGGGTGCTGCGGGTCCGATGGAGGAGGAATCCTCTACCTTCCGGCCCGCACCAGAACCCCAAGAGTTCGACAGCAGTAACAATATGGTACTTAAGGACATGTCTACGTCATTAAGTTCGCTCTACGACGAGAACAACTTTTTCCAAATGTCTACTGTGTTTTCCGAATCATAACCAAATATATCCACCACCTTACGTATAAAATTGTATAAAAATTAAAACTATAGTTACCACTCAGTTTTAGCGTGTTTTGTAAGTGCCCTCCTTYTCCAATGAAGTGTTGATCATTTGTATGTGTATTTTTTTTTAAATGTTTTTTTTTCTACTGTAAAACTGGTCATTAACGATAAATTTGTATTAGATATAAGATGAAAGCATTTCTGAACTAATGCGTTTATTCTACATAATTTAAAACGTTTTTAGTATGCGTTGTAATTTAATTTTGAAATAAAAAAATTAAAAATTATAAATCCACTGGATTTGAATTGTGTATATATTGAGAATGTTAAAATTCATAATTTTATTTATTTAAATGTAAGTATGTAATTTAACTTAAAATTTTTATTGTTATAAATGTGATCTTCATTTTAAGACTTTTATTTATTTTTTTTTGTTAAAATGAAATCATAACTTTCTTGTATGTTTGATTTAAGATGGTAAATTTTTTTAATTAAAAAAAGTTATATTTAATACTTATTTGAATGTTTTTGAAGTATATACCTACTTGACTATTTACAACATCATCTGATAACACTATATTTAATTGCATGATGTATTAAATACATGGGTTATTAAAATATATCGATATATGTGAAAAGATGAATAATAACCTAAATAAAAATAATTCGTGTTACGGAATTACATAAATCATATATAGTTTGTAATATGACGAATAACATATATATTTATGTGTACTAGGTAATACAAAACGGTGTATATTTTACTATTTTACTATTAGTATACATTTTTATATTATGTAATGTTAATATTATTGTATACAAATTACAGTAATATTAGTATTGCAAGTTTCCTCACCACCTTRGCACATTAAATGAAAACCGATTTATCAAATTTCTTAGTGTCGCATGGAGTATAATACTTCATACTTTAAGTACTGCATATGGCGCGATTGTTTTATGGTGGTCTCTCAAAGTATCAACCATAGGCCTAACCATATAGAGAAAAATGAATAAATTATCGGATATTCATAATAGGGAAAACTATTACGATTTATCTCTTGCTAAAATGATAATTGTTTTTAGATTAAACTTTGATTTAATAAAATATATTAAGTATCSCGTGTGGCTTATTTGACCGACAATCCTCCATTTCCTCATTGACAGTGTTTAATTCCAGACGAGTATAATATTATCGGAAGTTAAAAAATACGGAAATCGCTATGCCCGATACGAATACACAAATAAAATATAAAAAAATAAAATAAAATTTTCTACAAAAATAAAATTATATCAATAGCGTTGTGCAATCCCGTCCTTATTTGTATAATATGTTTCTGTCCATAGAATTCAACACCATATAAAAAATCCTGAAGATAATTATAATGTATTATGTATGCTTTACTTAATCAATATCACAAACTAATTGAGATCAAAGCTAATAATTGCAACTTAAGTATAATAAGCATTTATTTTATTTTTGAAATTATTTTTATAAACTAAACTTACCTTTTACTGGCTTTTAGTATACTATATTACCATTTTTATTTTAGTATTAGTGTAACAAAAAAGAATCATATACTTAGTATCTTAAATCTTAATTATCTTTCTTGAATATATTAGTATTATTTGGATATAATTTTATAAAATTACAAAACGCGAAAATAATTAATGTCTAATCAAAACGTGTTATTCAAAAACTATTCACTGAAATAACCTTTCAAAATGTAAATAAAAATATTTACAATTTAAATTGAAACTTCTGGCAGTTAAATAATATATAAGTATAAACATAATAGAACTTCTGCATTTGCTTTCAAATAACTGATTGTTAAAATAAAATTATCGAATAGACATATATAATATGTGTTATTTTAATAATAGCCAGCCCAGTTTAATATTTTCACTAGTCAGTCGTTACACTTTTCAGTGAGCCTAATATAATGTTATTATACAACCGTAATCCGTTTCACCTATTAAATCAAATATATTTTATTATTACAACAAATAGGT